CAATTATTAAAATGCTTTTAATTAAAATGATATTCAAAGAATTCAAGATTAAAATTTGCTCATTGTTCACTTCCTAAGAAGGAAGCATTTTATTGAAATTGTTCAAAAGTCAAGTGATTTACAAACATTTAAACATAAGAAGAACAAAAGAAAAACAAATCCAAACAAGATGTCATGCATGAGAATGCAACAAAATCTACTGATGGATGCCCCCATCCTGCTCCTGATCAGAATGCCCCATCACACATTGAACGTTAATGCCCCTAAATCAATCAGATCTTGGACCTTGCACTTTAATGCCCTATAATTCTCAGTGGTATGCCCTGAGATCCCAATGTGATAGCTGCATATGGCGTTAATATCATGGCCTTCAGGATATGGGTCAGTTCTTGGTTTGGATTGAACTGGAATCACCAGGTTGTTCTCAATTAGTGCTGGGAGCAATTCCTCATATGTCATCGAAATTGGATTGATGCATGTTTTTTTTTACGAAAAACATTATGAGACACGGTCCCCATACTAGCTAAATCCACTAGACTGACCTCAGCTTTTTCCTCAATGTCAGTATGGCTAGTACCACATATCTGGCCATTCTTGATAGCTCTTTCCATCATTTCTCCACACATGACGATGTCAGAGAAACTCTTAGTGGCAACCCCTATCATGTAATCAATATAAGGAGACTGTAATGTATCTATGAATAGAGTGATGAACTCTCTTTCAGTCATTGGTGGATGCACTTGAGATGCGACATCCCTCCATCGTTGAGCATATTGTCGGAAACTCTCATCACTCCTCATCTCCATATTCTGCAGCATTATTCGATCAGGGATCATATCAATCATGTGCTTGTATTGGTTCAGAAAGGTACTAGCCAAATCTTTCCAAGAACGGATTTGAGCACGACTCAGTTGGTTATACCACCTAGAAGCAGGTCCAGTCAGACTGTTTTGGAAGCAGTGGATCAACATCCGATCATTTTTAGTGTATCCAGTCATCCTTCTAATAAACATCGTGAGATGGACATTAGGGCAACTGGTTCCATCGTACTTTTCAAACTCAGGCATCTTGAATTTGGGCGGGAGCACCAGGTCAGGAACTAGCACTAGTTCTATTGCATCCATCCCGTTGTGAGAGTTTTGTCCTCCCATTCCCTGAAATGTCTCTCTGCACCACTGTTTCAAATTCTCTGGGATCTCGTTCTTGGCTATTCTCGTCGCTTGGTGACTAGGAATCCTGTTGGACGAGATAAGTGGTTGTGAATTAGCCTGTACCTTCACACATTCAACTGTTTCACGGGTCAAGGAAATTTTCTCTCTGCCTTTTCCTTGGTTAAGCTCAGCCATTTTTGCTACCATTTGGCCAACTATGTCCTTTTGGTTTTGCAAGATACCATCCACGGTGGTCTTTTGCATCTGCTCCATTTTAACCTCCCACTCAGCTTGCATCTTTTGTAAACTCTCTTCTAACTCTTTCTTCAGTTGCTCGAATTTTGCATCCATTCTCAGTACTGTGTGAATGCAGTTGCACAGTTAGAAGTGTTTCCTTAAAGTTTCCCGCAAGGTATGATTAATGCATGTAACAATGCTTAAATGAATGTTGTGCAAAATGTAATGATGAAAATACAGATGCAAAAATATTGATCCCAACGACGAATATTTTAGAACAATTTTCACCAGAGATAAAAGTTTTCATATTACAAGACAGTCCAATTTACAAACATGTCTTCGCTTAGATGGTGAGCCTGGAATGGATCACTGCTTCATCTCGGATCTTCGTCCTCAATAATGATGCCCCTCAAGCGCTCTGTAATCTGACTCCGTTAATACCTCGGCTATACTGAAGTTTGTGCTTCACTCCCTAATGGTTAACGATGGAATAATTGTGGATGAGAATCTACTGCTGGATTACTCCTTAGATCAGTGGATTATCATATCAGTCTCGAATGATGCACGATCTTCGAGAAAATCTCATTCTTGTACTCTGGACTTCTTTTTAGCCCTCGATGCATGTCTGTGTATGCGATCGCTCGATTGAAAACTTTTATCTCTTCTTGTGAAAATTTTCTCTCGGATATCCCCTTGCGGATCAACATTTTCATATTATAGCATGACGATGCAACGCAATGCAAAGAAGGATGAAAAATGACAAACAAAATAAATAAGTTAAGGTGTAAAAACAAAAGAGAAAAACGAGTTAATACATGTAGAATAATTTATACGGATAAAAATGTTATTCAGAGATGAATATAACACCTACCCCGTCATGATATCTACCCAAACATGCTTTCAATTAAATAACAATCCTACCCGAACATGCTATCTACCCAAAATGATCTATTTTCAAGAAATTGGTCCTAACCGCATGGTATCTAGTTCGCATGCTTTATTCGGAAAAAAATATATTCTACAAATTTAAAAGGTTAAGATTTAGAATCGTTCCTCCTTCGTGTACACCTATTTTGGGTACCTACTGACGGACAAAGGTTCGGTATGACTATACCTAGGGTGATCGTTCTATGATTCACTATATGCTTGGTTTCGGCTCTAACAGGAAAAGGGTCTCGAATTGTCCTTGATGTCGGTGCCCCCTTGGGCTGCCAAACCCTCGATCCTCACCCATTACAGGTTTCGAGCGGAACGAGTTCAATTCGAGAGGATTCACTACCTTATACCCATACGAGGAATAAATCCCTACGACGGTATAAGGTATGTATCCCATGGGTTATTTGCTAAAACTCATACGAAGAATAAATTCTTACGAGAGTAAAGCATTCACCCCGACTAACTTGGATCGAAGCTCGTGTCTAGAGCTCATGTTATGCGAATGCACGTGATGTGTGTGAGGAGGAACGTACCTACCTTTGACTCAAAACAGAAAAGAAAAAAACGACAAAAATTGGGACCGATCTGAAAAGAAAAAAAAATCAAATGTTAGTATGTCAAATAAAAAATGAAGCAATTAAAAACTTCAATAAACGGATCATAAGCTAACCAAAGACTCGAACTCATAATTTCGACCATAACGACAATGTGTAAGCGACATACAGCTTGACTCTCTAAAAAAAATCCCCAGCAGAGTCGCCAAGCTGTAATAACCATTTTTATGTAAAACAAAAAAAATATTATTTTAAAAAACGATTATGACTTTAATTTGGAAAAATTGGTGATTTTGGAATTGATTTGAATAAAATAGAAAAGAGTCGCCAACGACCTTTGGGTTAGGTAGGTCGAAACCTAAAAACGTCTTTCAAAACAATTTTAAGAAAAATCATTTTTAAGACTAAATTCGGTCTGCATTACCAAAGATTCATTTAAATGGATTCGGGAGTCGGTTACGTGTGGGGAAGGGTAAGCACCCCCACAACGCCCAAAATTGGTACTGTGTCGCTTACACATTGTTGTAAATGGTGGAAATTACAAATCGAATATAAAGTTAAAATATGATCTATTTATCGAACCTTGATTAATTTGCTTCGAATTAAATAATTAGAGAAAATTCTTTAACTTAAAAAGAAATCTCAAAATTAGCAATCCTCCATCGGGAAAGCTAACTCGAATATTTCTTATCGATTAAAGAATATTCCCTCATTAATAAATATATGAATCAACTATAAATGAAAATCGACGATTTGCATTCGCATACAATGAAATAAATTGATAAAAAAAATCGAATATACATCGTAAAATGAAGATTAATAACTTACATGAAATGAAATAAATTATTATTTAGAGACATTCATTGCAATGTTGAACTTAAAATAAAATTGAATTAATTATAAAAAATAAAATCGATTTATTTCAAGTAAACATTTTATTCGAACGTCGTATCGGATTACACCACTTCGATCAAGCGATGTTTTCCACGCCCGTTCTATAAATCATTGTTCTTGAAATTATTCGAATAATATACGATAGAGAAATACAAAGAATAAATATAAATAAAATATGCGAAATAAAATATTTACATTAAATGAAACTAAAAACATTATTTACATAATACAAATAACCGAATAATAAGTACAATAAAATCATACATAAATGACTAAAATAAAAATAAGTAAATATCATAAACCAAGATAAAATTATCAAAAGATAAGTATTTGTAATTACAAGGATCATAATGAAGAAAAATAGAAACTTGATGTACTAAAATAGTAAATACAAGAATTTAAGGTACTAAATAACAAATATATCAACTGAATAGGTTAAAAACAGAAGAAACATAAATTTAGGGACTAAAACATTAATTACAAATAAATTAGAGCCAAAGTAGTAAATGTTAAATAATACAGGTACTGAAATGGAAAAAAACCCATAAATTATGATAAAGGACTAAAATGAATTAAAAGTAAATATACATGCTACATTCAGGATTTAATACAAAAATACAAAGCTGTGACCAAAATAGAATTTTCATAAACAATGAGAACAAAGTCTAACATTAAAAATATATATATAATAATAATAGTCAAGTGACCAAATCGAATACTGTCAACAATTAACAATATAAATTCTAAATATTTAATAAATATAACAACAAATATAAGGGACTACAATGATACATGAAACAAATAAGGAGGTTAAAGTGGAACACCATCATAAATATCAACATACAGATTAGGACGAAAATGCAACAAGGAATAAACATGAAGTCCAAGTCAAAAGGAAAGGAAAATCCATTAATAGCTAAAACGAAACCTTACAAATGCCAAGGGACTTACAAAGCTATTTATCCCAAATGAGAAAACACGCATTCCCTGAACCCTATTGAACGGCGTCGTTCAGCGTCTGTGATATAAGCCCCTTTGAGGGTTTCCATTAAATCATTTTTTCCTCTCCCTCTGTTGCCTCTCTCGTTCTAAAGGGAAAGAACCATAGAACCCCCTCAAGGCTCACCGCCGTTCGACTCAAATGGCCCCGAAATCTTTCCGTTTTCAACGCGATTTAAGCCCAGTTTAGAACCCCATATATCCTTCCTCACATTCCCCTCGGGTTTGGATGACAGTGGTTACTAAGGGGGAGGTAAGTATTTTCTTTTGATTTTTTTCTCCCTGGTTTTGGTTCGAATGCTTTCTCCTTTTTATGGTTTTTTTTTCTGTTCACTCTCTCTGGTTTTCCTCTCCTTTTTCTTTTGTTTTGGTTCCCACCGAATGCCCTTGATATCTCCTCATTCCCTCTCCTTTATTGCATGCTTGATGGATTTGATAAATCCCTCGGGATTTTAGACTTGATTTGCTCTTATATTTTATTGGGATTTTTCTGATTGATATCTGTTTATGTCACTGTTTGATGGATGGGTAGGTCACTATTGATGCGTATTTGTTGACGGCAGCGGGGACAAGCGGCGGTAGCAGGGACTGGTGGCGACAATGGCTATCTCTAGGGTTTTAGAAACCCTAGGGAGTTGACACTGGGCCGGTCGGATCCGGATTCTGGGTCGGTTCGAGTTAGCAGTCTGCTGAGTTGGGTCGGGTTGCTGGGTTGGCTTGTAATTTGGGCCTTAGGATTGGCCTACGAAAAAAATGTAATATAAAATTAATAATAATATCAAACAAAATAATAATAATAATAATAATAAATAAAAAAAAGACCCGGACAAAAACGAGTGTCTACATACATCTGCGGTTTTGTCAGGCGTACACAGTTTGGTTGTTTGCTTCTTGAAGAGGCTGCGAGGAAAAGATGATGGTACGCCTTGTAAAAGAACTCGGTAACACCCCGTTTTTTGTTTTGCATTTGGCATGTTGATATTCAGTAATGCTGTCTTTCTTTGCAGTTATTAATGCTGGTGTAGCTGGATGTTGCACTGGACTTGCTCTAAGTTTCCCAGGTACGAGAATCTCGAGGTTCATTTGTTTGCTTACGGGGTTCGATTTGAACCTTTTTTTTCATTGAAACGGTTTTGCAGGTGCACCCCAGGCACTTCTTCGGAGCTGGCTCACGTTCCGAGCATTCTCGTTTATCATGGAAGGGCTTAACAAGCAGCAGCCAGCGCTGGCACGTTCATTTCCTGCGAGAAACGAGAGCAGAAAACGCCCTCTGGCTCTCCCTCTTTCACTCCCTCTTCCAGATGAGCTCCGAGGAGCTTTTTCTTCTTTCTGCAAGTCCTTAGTAGAACCAAATAAAGGCAGTTTTTGACAGCTAACTGATCGGGGTTGCCATTTTTATGTTTTCGTGTTTTGTATATTGTTTCAAGTGCGAGTGGTGAGATTGTACACCGAAAAATTTTGTTAAAGTTTTTGAAGCATTTGCAAGCAGAAATATGAAATTGTTTCTTTCATGTTGCATTTCGTGTCGGTTCTTGATTCGATTATATGATCTGTCTGGTCTGATATGCAAGCATTATATGGTAAGTTTCTGATTTGAATACCAAATCATATTTGATTTGCTTAAAAAACTATATATATATATATATATAACCATATCTGCTGCATCTCCTTGTAAAAAGCTATCCTTTTCTCATATACAGGAAATCATCATCCTGTTGCTTCTTTCACCTTTATCCAACAAATTTCAATGGACTCTGGATCATCTCAATTCACAGAAACACCATATAACTCTGTTTTTCTTTTATCTTTTCGGTTGTTCATTACTTAAGTTCAATTTCGTTCTTTCGTTTGATCGCAGACTTTCATCCTTAGGGTCTATATTCAAACTCCGGGTTCGGAGAATACCATGATCAAAGTGCTCCAGGGAATTCCAGGTATCCCACTATGATCTCCATTGACAACTGATGTATATAAATGTGTGTGTCTGTGGTTGCATGATGCATTTTCTTTGCTCTTCTTTCAGGTGCTACTTTCTCCATCGGTCCGAATGGAATCGCTCGTGTTTCGGGCAACATAGACCCCGGAACCACTCTGAAACTGCTAGTGAAAGCAGGGAAACATGCTCAGGTATACTGTATCGACTCCGGATTAAGAAACCGAACATCGGAAAGAAGAGATGAAGGGCATCGTTTTTTGGATGATCCCCATGGAATATATTGGCAAGAAGGTAGCCATCAATATTACCACCATCCTTATGATCCATTCCCACCACCCCCTCGGTATCTCTCGCAGCCTCCTATGGCACTGCCGCAACAGGCTTTTGCCGGTGAACCGGCTCAGTACACGATTATGTGAATAATATTATTAATATTCCAAGCTAATAAGTTAGGATCTTGGTACTTGTTTTTTAGCAGTACTAATATTACCCTATGTGAAGTTCTTTTATCGGACATAAATTCGTATCCAGGGGTGTTCGTTATGTTAAAACGGTGCCGATCGAATCGAAATACTCTTAATCGAATTAACCGAATTTTTTTTTCTTTAATGATTAACCGAACCGATTTTTTTTAAAGTATTAACCGAACCGAATAAATTCAGTTAATTCGGTTAATTTTCGAATTAACCGAAATTCTTTAGAATTTTTTAATTTAATATTTTTTAATTAAAAAACAATTTACAATTAATTTATATAACATCTAATTATAAATAATATATAATTAATTTGATTGAAAAATTTTGTATTTAGTTTTGAGATTATTTTAATTAATTAGTATTGATTTGGATTTTAAATGAGTTTTAAATGGATTGGGCCGGTTAAACCGAATTTCAAAAAAATCATTAATCGTTTTCCGACCGAACTAATTCGGTGGCCGACCGAATTAACCGAATTAATTCGGTTCGATCGATTAATTCAGTTAAAATCGAATTTTGAACACCCCTATTCGTATCAAACGTTATCTTGGAAGTAAAGGAAACGCGAAAAAGAATACGATGTTATTTCACGTTCGTAGATCCCGATACGAATGTCATTAAACAAGTTTAAGCAGTTATCTTTCTTTGCATGATTATGTGAATAATATTATTAATGTTCCAAGCTAATAAATTAGGAGCTTGGTACTTGTTTTTTAGCAGTACTAATATTACCTTAAGTGAAGTTCTTTTATCGGACATAAATTCGTATCAGGGGTGTTCATTATGTTAAAACGGTGACCGATCGAACCGAAATATCCTTAATCGAATTAACCGAATTTTTTTTTCTTTAACCGTTAATCGAATCGAATTTTTTTTTTAAAGTATTAACTGAACCGAATAAATTTCGGTTAATTTTTGAATTAACCGAAATTCTTTAGAATTTTAGAATTTAATATTTTTTAATTAAAAAAATTTACAATTAATTTATATAACATCTAACTATAAATAATATATAATTAATTTGATTCAAACATTTTGTATTTAGTTTTGAGATTATTTTAATTAATTAGTATTTATTTGGGTTTTAAATGAGTTTTAAATGGATTGAGCCGGCTAAGTATCTTAATATAATTATATTTAAATGTTAATTCGGTTAATTATGTTAATTAACCGATTTCAAACCGAATTAACCGTTAACCGAATTTCAAAAAAATCCTTAACCTTTTCCCGACCGAACTAATTTGGTGGCCGACTGAATTAACCGAACTAATTCAATTCGGTCGGTTAATTCGTCGGTTAATTCGGTTAAAACCGAATTTTGAACACCCCTATTCATATCAGACGTTATCTTGGAAGTTAAGGAAACGCGAAAAAGAATACGATGTTATTTCACGTTCGTAGATCCCGATACGAATGTCATTAAACAAGTTTAAGCAGTTATCTTTCCATGCAAGAAACGAACCAAATTTCTACCCCTATCTAAAGCACGAGTTAAGCTCCCAATGTGTAGTTTCTTGCAAATTAAGGTAACTATCATCATTTTATGGTAATACTTGTGTGTCAAGTCATCTTCGATTTAATTTGCAGAAAAATCTGAATTTGAATCATAATTTTTAAACAAGAAGATATCCATTAATTATTGAATTAAATGTCGGATATAAATAATTAATTTATCAAATAATTATCTTCGTTATCATTATAATATTAGGTAAATCGATGAATAGATCGAATTTATATAATGTTTTCATTTATATTAAGTAAAATAGAGATCTAATGAAAATAATGTAAAGATGAATATAAATTTAATTATCCTTAAATATTTAAGGGATAATTATATTATTATCTCGAGTCGAGTCATATATTTTTCATATTAAACCTAACCTTATCCGATCCATCCTTCAAAAAATCTAACATGATCTGATTTTTTTATTATTAATTTGGGTGCTTACAAGTGGTAGTATTTGTTATAAAAACTCTCAATCATTTGACAGTGAACTCTTAAATACTCTAACGATTATTAGTTCTCGAACGTGAGACCTCTAAGAATAACAATTATCATTTTAACCATTGAAGTAATTTGATTCGTGCAACTCATTTTTCTAAAGACTCATTTTTTTAAATGATCTTATAAGGTCGGATTGAGTCGAAATCCCACACGTTCAAGGTTAAATGACCATCCTGACCCCAATGAATAAAATAATTACCCTTTTACTATTATTTTAATATATTTATATAGAATTTATTAAAAGAAAATCCATAAAATTTAAGTGTTAAATCAGGTCCATTATATTTATATAAATATATAAAAAAATATTTTGTATTCGCAGTTTTATATTATATATTATTTTTTTCTCTATATATTTTAAAATATATTAAATTATTTTCAAATTTAAATTTAAAATTTTAATCACCATCTCCTAAAAATATGATATATTTAATTTGAAATATTTAATTTTTAAATAAATTTTATTTAAAATTGTATTTTTTTTTATCTTAATAAGATTTAATCCCACAAAATATTTATTATTGTTGAATGGAGTATTTGTTTATTGGTCAAACAATGAGTGCATTATGTTTACAGTGCGCCGAGAAACAGTGAATAATTAACAGAAATGGAAAAAAATATGTTTGGAAGTTCTTTACAAGGCAAAAAACTCAAGACCGTTCATTTCTTGGTTTTACCCTTTTACTTTCTTTGGTGAAAATGGATCCTCTTTCTATTCCTTCAACCTCTCTCACTATGTATATATAAATCAACGCAACGGAAATGCATTTCTTAACTCGTTGAAGGGTTAACTTCCTCGTGTAAAATCTGGGGGTGGCGCGGTTTGAAGTCATAAACTTTGAAAGGATAATGAAATTCTTTCATTGACAAACCGCGATACCTTGCTTTTTAACGGGGTGAGTTTTCTGGGTTTGTTTTATTTTATGGGTTTACTGGTTTTTGTTTGATTGGTGTGCTTGTTTGCATTCCTGGGTCAATGGGGTGTGTTTGTTTTCTGTTCCATTGGAATTGGATCATGGGATTCCAAGGAATTCCCAGTTTTTGTTGATTGTTTATAAGTTAAAATGGATTGTTGTTAGTGTCAATGATCATGATTATAGGGTCTAAATGTGAGTTCTTGATTTATAGGGATGGTTTCATGAGAGATTTTTGTTATCTTGATGCTAATAGGATCTAAAGATGAGGCATTGATGTTGTTTTCTGGTTTTCAGATTCTGGTTGAAAGGTTAGGCTGCTAGGTTAAATTCCCTTTTCTTTCTTTCTGTTTTTTTTACTGTTTATAAGTTAAAAATCAATGTGTAGGATGGTTAATGTTAAAGTTCATGATCATGACCATGGGATCTAAATATGAGTTCTTGATTTATAGGTATGGTTTTTCATATGTTAAAATGCAATTAATGGGGATGGTTTCATGAGATATTTCTATTATGTTGATGCTAATAGGATCTAAAGATGAGGCATTGAAGTCGTTTTCCGGTTTTCAGATTCCAGATGGAAAGTTTGGCTGCTAGGTTAAATTCCCAGTTTTTGTTGATTGTTTATAAGTTACAAATCAATGTGTACTATTGTTTATGGTTAATGTTAATGTTCATGATCATGGGATCTAAATATGAGTTTTTGATTTATAAGATGGATTTTTCATATGTTAAAATGCAATTTATATGGATGGTTTCAAGAGAGATTCTTGTTATCTTGATGCTAAATTGCTAATAGAATCTAAAGATGAGGCATTGATGTTGTTTTCTGGTTTTTAGATTCTGGGCTTGAGGAATCTCGTTGGAAAGTTTGGCTGCTAGGTTAAATCAGAGTGTATTTTGAATCCGGCATGGACCATTGATAATTCAATTCTGGATTCATTGTCTGTAACTTGCAGACGAACTTTGATTTTCCTTGTCTCTGCTCAGATAATCTTTAGATATGTCTACGAGAAAATCAGGTGGTTCAAAGAATACATCTAAGGTCCTAAAGGCCGCCGCAGCCAATACAATCATCGAATCAGAAAAAAACACTTATGTTAGACACATAAACATATATCTTGCTGATGATCCATTTTTAAAGCAGTTTCTTCCGATTGATCCAGCTACCAATGACCTTTTCGAAC